GCAGGGTCTCCTGACCCAGTTCAGGGCTTAGCAAGGTGACAGAGGTGACATTCTCCTTGAAAATTAATTAATCAATCAATCAATTAATTAATTTTAGCATGCTTTCTTTGCCTTGTGTGAATTGACATTCCCTGCTTTGAATAGGAGCTACTATTCATCAAGGAATATGAGTCATGTGCCAGACACTGTACTGAGAGCTTCACAGAGCTGTAATGCCTGGTCTAGAATTCCTCTAATATCTCTTTGAGATAGGGACTCTTTATCATCCTGTCCCTATTGTAGGGAGCTTATCTGTTTTGTTCTTGCTCTATCTCTTGAGCTTGAAAAGGTGTCTCACATAGCTAGGTGCTGGATTTTGAACGGATGAATTAGGTGCAGACATAATTTGTTCAAGTCATACTGGTTATATGTAGGAGTGGGAGACCAGGCCTGTATAGTTTCAAAGTCTGGACTCTAAACTTGTACCTGTCAGCTTTCTGATGCTTAGCTTAAAGAGGAAGTTCTGAGCTTTTGCACCCATGCACCCCTGAGGACTCCTTTTAAATGGTCAAATTGTAGAATGCCTCATATAGATACTTTGGGCCATTTTTTTTAATTTGTTGAAGATAATCTTTTCTTTTTCTTATAAAACAAAATTTGTAAAAAATTTGTTTAAAATCAGGTAATATTTAAAAGTGACTTTGTATTTTGAACACTTGCAGCAACTTGTGTATGTACCTTTCTTAATTCCTTCTACTGAAAATGCTTGGTTTGCATGAGAATTGTACACCCTGCAATAACATCTGCAGAAGCAGACAGATGGGGGGTGCCCATGGCTTAGAATATGAACCTGTCTCTTTGATTAGGCCTGAGTCTACAGTGACCCAAGGGCTGGAAATTCAGTGGCAGAACTGTTCTGAACAGTTGCTACCATTTCTTCCTCAAAAGAGACAGTTCATTTAATTCACAGACTTTTTCTTAGACCTTGAGCTCATGCCCTAAGGGGGCCTGGGAAAGACAATTCCTTGCCCCCAGGAGTTTGTTTTTTGATGGAAGAGATACAACTAATAGAGCCAGGGAAGAGTGGGAAGTGCCTACTTAGAAGCTGCTGGGGCTTGGGGGTGGAATGAGATGAACTTTGGACCTGTGTATCTGTGGTCCTGAATCTGGAAGCACATCACTGTTATCTGCCTGGTCATGCTTTGGCATGGTGTTCTTGAAGGAAACACAAGGGACACTTAAACTGATAAGAGTCAAACATGTCATGGGCCTCTAGGTTTGCTGTCCAATTTATTGAATCAGGGTGAAAACAGAGAGAAGAAGGTAAGGAAAGGAAGGATGTTTGGAATAATCAGGAACCCAAGCAAGTAGCTGGGGTAGAGCCCAGTAGTGGTGCTCAGCAATCACAGAGCCTTGGGGTGCATCCCTAGCACCCAAAGAAACAGGAACACAAACAGATCTGCCTAGAATCTCCTCCTAAGGAGGAGATACACAAAGAGTTACAGAAAGATTGTTTCCCACATCCTACATCACTTTAAATACCCTTGGGGATTCCTACTTCTGGGGAACAATGACACTTGTAGGAAGACAGTTGAAATAGGGGTTAGCATGAATCATAGTTTGAGGACTACTAATTAGGTCAGCAGGTTTTTATGGAACTGTAGAGCAATTTGTTTAAAAACAAACACACACACACACACACACACACACACACACACACACACACACCAAATAAGATTTCTCACCATAATGAGAGTGAAAGTTCCAGAAGTCAAACTTTGGGTCTTTCCACTTCTTATTTGAGATTCTTATGAGCAAGAAAGCTTCTTCATTACACAACAGGTTTAACCTTGCAGGATTTTTTTTTTTTTTTTGAGTTGTTGTTGGCTTCCATAGAATTTTTGAAGTGTAGCCTCACTTTAGAATGAAGATTCAGGGTGAAAATGTTCATATGGCCTTAGTGGAAGTGCTGTTTTCTGCTGTAGTGGTTTTGTTTTGTTGATGTGCTTGTTTGTTTATCTATTCTTGGAAGAAATCATCAGGCCTGCTTAGTAAGTGGCCCATCTTACCAGATCAGCTGAGCAGACTTGCAGGCCCTTCCACCTCCATCCATCAATCATGTGGCTCCTTGGTGCCTGTTTCCTTGTTCAGTGAAAACAGTTCCTCAGCATTTTCTTCAAAAAGTTCTCTCTTTTTTTTTTTTTTTGGCATTTTGACTTGATATTACCAGTTGGAGGTCTTTACATTGCACATTTTGGTTATGTTGAAATAAAATATGGGTTTAATGTTGGAGTAAAAGGAAGAATCAGCAAATAAATGATCAAGGCATATCTAACCCTCCATATATTGAAATATATAAATATATGTATATAAAACCTATACACTTCCACTGTTCAGAATCGGATAATATCATAAAACTTGAGAGCTTCACCTTTACAAAGATGTATTTATTTTAAATTTTTATAATTCTTTTTGTTTTTAACTTTATTGTTTTTTTTTTTGGTGGTACTGTGATCTTAAGAATCTGTATGAATGGAAGGCATGAGGCACCACAGCAGAAGGGTCATTGCACCGGAGTGTTTCTGTCTTTGAGGTTTAATGAGATAGAGCCAACACCCAGATTGCAATAGTGGAAGAGATGACTGAAATATCACCACAGGTCACACAGGTGACAGAATGGGTTCTCATCTGAATTTGCAAACTCTAATTTCTCATTCTAAATGTAGGAAATTCCTAAAGGAGCCAGCATGCCAACTTTTTTTTTTTTTTTTTAACTTGGAAGAAATCTAAATGGAATATTTATGGATTAAAGAAATGTTTGATTTAGATTTCAGTCATGGTCATTCCCATAGCTAAATGGTGGAAGAAACCTGTGTTTCCAAGGAAGCTGCCTTTTTTAAGCATACCACTGGGAAATAATGACTATTTTGAGCTTAGAGATGTTATATTGGATGTTTGTGTGTATTGAAATTAATTCATAGGCGTTACATCTAAAATAAATCATCCGACTTCTGGGGAGAATGTTTGTTTTTGAAATCCGTTTGTTTCTATTTAGTCCTCTAAATATTCTCAATTAGAAAGTAATGACAAGGATTACATCCTGGTTTTAAACTGTTGAACTTAAAGAAGGCAGCTTTATTTTTAAGACTTAAAATAGCCATGTAACTGTGTTATTTGTAAGTGGGTTTGTGGTAGATTCCAGTTGTGTAGTTTTGTAAAGTATACTAATTTTTCACACTTTTTTTTTTTTTTTGGTAGTTATTATTTTCTTGAGATGGGGTCTCACTGTGTTGTTCAGGCTGGTCTGGAACTCCTGGGCTCAAAGTGATCCTCCTGCCTTAGTCTCCCAGTTAGCTGGCACTAAGGCATGTGCCACTGATCCAGGCCAGACCTTGTTCTGGAGAGTGGCTGATCCAGGTCAGACCTTGTTCTGGAGAGTGGCTGGGTGCTTGTGAGTTTCAAGCCTCATGTTTGCTAGTGAGGGTGCCCACATGCACCGCAGGGTCGTTTGAGGATTAAGTTGCACTGTGGGTGAAAAGTCTCTAACCTGCCCAGGGCTGGTATTCAAAACAGGTCCAATCTCTTTTCAGTTTCTCTTTCCTTTCCAAGAAACCTAACTGCTGCTCTGTTTCTGTTAAGACCCCCGCCCCCCCTTTTTTTTTTAACACTGTGATATGGTACTTAATGTTTTGTCAGAAACTATGCTCCCCAGCACAGGTGGTACAGTTTATAATTTCCAATTTAGCTTTTAAATTAAAAACATACCTTTTGCTGCTAGCACCTATGGGAGTTGGTTTGTCTTGCTGCTTTTCTGGTGGCAGCTGAATCTCTGTGCTTCCAGTGACGATTGTCACTCCCTCCATGACCACATGCTTTGGACATAGGGGTAATTATTTCCCCTACCTCTGCAGCCTGTGGCAAGGGTGGAACCAGGAGGTCCCTGTCCCACAGTCCCATTTGGATTGGTAGTCATCATGATGTCACAGCAGCCTAGGGTCATAGCTGGATCAGGAGAGTAGCAGGTGGGGATTCTTCCACCAGCCACTTAGATTCCAGATGCTTCAGGTCATCAGGAGCTCTGCGACTTCAGGAGTGGGAGTGAGGCCAAGCCACTGTCACATGCATGTTGTGTGATTTCAATCATCATCAGGGCTGCTGTTGCCTCTGGGCCTCAAATTACCATCTCAGACAAGTCCTCCCCATCCCAGAACTCAAGAGTGTTATAGGCCTTATCAATTCTCTCTTTGAGGAGACTTTGCACAGCTTCCTGAGACATGGTCTTGTGGGAGCTGGAAGGAAGGAAGTGTTTGAAACGGCACATGTGCTAGTGATTCTGGTAACCAAGGAAACGTGTCCCTGACACAAAGCTGCTTTTTAAAAAATGATGGTACCTTTCTGGGATTATTTCAGAATCACCCACAGCAAGAGTCCAGAGGGATTTGAAATTAAACAAGGTCACTTCCAGAAACTGTGTCAAGAGTTAATGAGCACATGAGGATTTGCCTTTTAAAAAAATGTACTTTAAAACAGAAACCCAGTACATTGTAGATATAGGGAGCTACCTTGTGAGTAATTTGAGTCTTTCCTAGATTGGATGTTTAATAAATCTTACCTGGATGTAGCTTTCCTCTCCTCTTGCCTTATTATTTGTATTATTTTTGTTCTTTGTTGCCTTCTATTTCCAATTAATCCTTTAGCTTCTCTCCACCCTATTTATAAACTATTAATATTATATAGTGATATTTTTATTTAACTGCTGTCTGTACCCTGGGTATGGATTTTGTAATATATTCATTATGCATAGCATTATAGAAACTGGACTTGACTTGGAAATTAATAATATATAAACTTATTATTATTATTATTTTTTAAATGGGTCCAGGGATTGAACCATTGGCCCGTTGCACATTAGATATGCTCTTTATCACTGAGCTAGTTGATACACAAACTTTTTTCATTAACTGAATCTTTACTAATAGCTAGAGACAGAAGTTATGGCCTGAACCTGAATATGTTTTAATAGTGTTCTTGACAGAGCACCTGGTGTTGTACAGATTATTACCAACACTATCTTCACATTCCCTTATGTGATAAAAGACTTCAGAGCACTGGACAACAGGAAAAAATTACTGAATTCACAAATAGCAAAGGATTAGGACAATCCTGAATGCCAGAGTCTCAAGCTCACACGCTACAGTGGCCAGACAGACTTTACAAATATATAGACTGGCCTGAGAACGTGGAGTGGGTAGGTATTTGAATTGCAGTGGGCAGAAATACCTAGGGCTACTTAACCTCTGGTAGGACTCTCCATAGCCAGGTAGGGAGCAACCCCTTCCTTGGACTTCATTGTAACAAAGTACAAACTGAAACTGTGCTGCATTTTTCTAAGTGATATACTTCATAATTAAAGAGGCTGAAGTGGGGAGAAGTGTGCATAGAATTTTCCGCTTGAGAGCAAATTTTACACCTGCTGCCTGGTTATCTATTAATTAAACTATATACCTGGGGATAAAATTTCAGTTTAGTTTAAATGTTAAATTCTTACTCTCTTGTGAAAGATGTCGTGAGGCTTTGATAGGATTTTAAAGATACCAGATTATAAGAGAGACATAAAAATTAGCACAGACCCTGAAAAAATTTATTGTCCCACAGCAGTGGTTCTCAGACATTAGTGTGCATCAGAATCCCCTGGAGGGCTTTATGGAACACAGACTCCTGGGCCTCACTTTGAAACTTCTGGTTCACTAAGTCTTGGGGGTATGAGACTATGTATTTCTGAAATGTTCCCAGGAGTTGCTGCTATTGCCACTCAGGGACTACACATTGTGGATCCCTGCATTAGAGGGAACTGGATTACTTGCTGAATTTAATGTAGGTATTGCATTTAATTTGGTGCCTTATTTTATTCCCAATATAGTTACTCAGCCAGTTGCTTCAAGCCTGTAGCATCTTATGTCGACCATCAAGACCAGTGGTGTGTGGTAAATGCTTTATGGTTGGTTATAGGCGTGGGGAACAGCCCTGATTTGAAGTGTTGCCAGTTTCTGTGGTGTAAATACTCTCATCATGATCCATTTAGAATTACTGATAAGACATCAACCAGCTGGTAGCATTTTTTTTTTTGAAAATTGAACAGTCATCTTCAGGACACCTCTGAATCAACCATGGGAAGTGTTGGAGAACATGTAGAAATTTAACCTTAGCTGGTACCCTTACCATCCATCTCTTTTGGGACTGGAGGGGGTGTGTATGAAAAATAACCTCATTTACACCTGGAGGAAGCAAGGAGATGTGCGCAGCAAACAGCTGACAGCTGCTCACCAAGGGGTTTTATTGGCCCAAAAGTCTTTTAATTTTTAATTAGTTGCTGACTCTCAACTGATTTTTTTTAACATGGAAAAAATGTATAATTTTTTTTTCTTAAAAAAATGAATGAAGAAATGAGAACTGGTAGCAACTCCAACACCTATTCTTAGTCACCAGTCACTAGCTGGAGTCGAGGAGCAGCTGCTTGCTCCCCACCTTTGCCTCCTCTAGACTGCAGGACAGTGTTCAGGTCATGGCCATCCATCCCTGACACTCCTGAACCTTGCAGTTGTCCTCACGCTCTGTACCTCTGAGGATGCTCATCCTGACCTAGAGACTCTGCATCTTCCCTCCTTGGGTGCATATTTTGGGGTAGGTACTTGATGACCTTGAAAAATCTTTAAAAACAAATGAAGGTGAGGCAGGTATTCCTTTGGTTCCTTTCTCTATTGTTTTCATCTCCTCTTCCCTTTACTTTGGTAGAGGGAGAGGAGGAAAGAGGAATTCACTTTCTAGAAGCAGAAACCAAGACCTTAAGAATCCTTTAATTTTTCTGTCTAAACTACAGACCTGGGACCCAGGTGAGGATCTTCCTGATAAGATTACGTGCTCCTGTGTGGCTTAATTACTGTTTATGGGCTACACACACTTTTCTTTTCAGAACTCTATTATTTATTTGCCATTCTAGTGTTTTCTTCCTCCATTTTCTCTTCTTTCAGCATCTTATGTCTGTTCTGCCCAGGTTTACTTTCCTATCCGTAGCTTTTTATTTTATTTATTTATTTATTTTTTTTTTGTATGGGAAAACAGAGTAGATGAAAACCTTTCTCACAAAATCACCTGCCTCAGCCACTCTGTGGTTATTTTATTTGAAGGTGGTAGAAGAAGGAACGTGCTTGAAGCGTCTCGGAGAGAAAAGTGAGGTTATCAATCTAGTCATTATCAGATTGAGAGCTAGCTACCTTGCAACTTTCATGAGGGAACATCCCTGGGAATTTTCTGGATAAATATTGTTCTTACGTCTTGGCAGTATGCAGAATTTAGACCACCCACATTTTGTGAGGCATAAACTCTCTGGTAAAATTCAAATAATATATTTCAAGAGTTTGGGTAGACTTGTAATTTTTTACCTGGGAGACAGCAAATACTCATGGGAAATATTTGTGCTCAAAATCAATAAGGAATGTGCGAGTGAGTTGCCTCCACTCTGAGAGCTGCAGTCTGCCCCTGAAGCTAGTGCCAAGTGGCATTTGTAGATAGAAGTAGGTGAGAGAACCACAGTGGGAGGAGGGAGATGATGACGCTCTCCAGGGCACACTGGCTTGCCTGAGGTGCACTGCCAATGGCTGCTTGGCTTATGGTGCCCAGGTCAAGTTCACAAGCAGATGAGTAATATACTATGGTATATTCAGTGTTTACTTGGTGCCACATAATGCAACGTAGGTTCTCAGCATTCTCCAGTTCTTGCTTGTGAGATGGGGACACTGGCTCTTGGAGAAGTGGCAGTGGTTTATGTGTTAAGGGAGCCAGGCTTTGGGTCCAGCTCTTCATCATTCCACATTTCAAATCACATATTATCTGTAAAGGTCATGTCTTAAAAGAAGATTATTTGTTTTATTTTTTTAATCTTCCTCAATGTCAAATCTTTAAATGTAAATATATCTTTAAAATTTCTTATTTTAGACTCATATGTGGAGTGTGTATCATTGTTTTTATATTTCCTAGGACATAGTGTCTATATGGCTAGGCAATAGCAATAAAATGTTTTGATTTTAAATGTATATTGACATTTATTTATGGTGAGTACATCTTATTTTATAACACACAGCTTTGTCGCTTATTTTTTAATTTTAGTTTTTCCATTTTTATAGTTCATTAACAATTAACCAGTCACACACACACACACACACACACACACACACGCACACACACACACACACAGTTTTTACATTTGGAAAAACTGGACAACACCAGGGTTTCAGATACCCACAAAAATAGAGCAGGCAGATTTCTATACTGTGGGGCAAGGGGCGGACAAAGCACAATGTCTGGTGAATGAAGCATGTTAGACTATCCATTGGGAATTCTTTTTTTTTTTAGATTTTTTTTTATTATTGTAGATGGACAGCATGCCTTTATTTTATTTGTTTGTTTTAATATGGTACTAAGGATCAAACCCAGTGCCTCACACATGCTATGCTAGCGCTCTGCCCTGAGCTACAGCCCCAGCCCCCCATTGAGAATTGTTTCATGCATCAATTTTATGGAGATATCTGCTACTCTCCCAATTAACCTGGAAGTATGGTTTTATAAAGAATTTATTTTTCTAGAGGCCAGATGCATCCCTGACCTTTCTCTGACATAGCCCTGGGCCACCAGTGAAGCGTTGGTAGCTCTGGGAAGGCAGCGGCTGCTGCAGGTGCCCAAGCACTGGCCCCTTCACCATCTGTCCAGTGTTGTAAGTTTTCATTGCTTTAGATGTTGTCCTTGTCCCAAGGGCCTTCGGTGGTTGGGGCCACAACTCTCCCTCCTGCTCTCCCCATCACAGCACATAATTAGTTGTAAAACTTTCACTTGTAGATGAAAACTCATTTTGGCAACCATTAATTCCCACTGTAATTCATTCAGAAACTGCAGCATTTCTGTTATTGGAAAAATATGCTTAAGCATCAAGCAGTGTAGCTAATATGTATCGGTAATTGCACATTGTTGATAGCTGTACACTCTGAGATTGCACTAAAAAAAGGTATTCCCCAGATAACCATGAAGGGGACTGGGGAACCCTTGCAAATCCAGCCCTTGCCAT